TGTCAATCGGACGCCGGTAGGGCATGGCCATGTACAGGATGAACAGCGATGCCTGCAGCAGGACGATGAGAAGGATGCTGCGAAGAGTCCCGGCTGACAAGATACAAACAATGCCCAGCACCGGGCGACGCACGAGGGCATACACAATCCACCAATAGCGATCCTCGCGAAGCGGTGCCAGGTACACATTGGCAAACGGACGCAGCCATCGTGTGTGTCGCCCGATGAGCAGCATTGGTGGAAGAATGAAGATCGTGAAGATGAGAAGCAAAGTCGCGAGCAAAGCGTATGGCAGGTGTTCGTCGTCAAAGCACTTGGTCAAAGGATCCAAAGCAACTCTGCATTCACCATCAATGACGGTCCAGGTTACCAACGGCAACGATGTGAAGATGACATAGTTATAACTCCAGAGAACTGCAGACCAGAGTGTAGGAAAGAAGGACAAGCTCGCAAACTTCAGCCGAAACCAGCGCACTTTGATAAACAGTATATAAACAATTGCCAAGCTGAGCAGCAATTCCAGCGGTATGATATAGGTAGCTGCAATCTGCGGAATCGGCCTCAGGTTCTCTGAGATACACTGATGAGCTCCAAAGTAGATGTTAGTCTGCCCGGTCACAACACTTTCAAGTTGAGGTGAAATGAAAATGGCAATCTACAACAGCATACAGAAACACGAGACAACAGGCAGCACAGCACGCCAGGGACCAGAGAGGATCAGACACCAAAAGTTACATGTATCTTCAGCATGCTGGTAAAGCATAACATCACCGGTGCAGCTGCTAATCTTCGGCATGCTGATGAAGTTACATCAACAGTGCAACAAACCCTAGTTAACGGCCGGCTTTTAGTGCCACTGAAGTCTTTGTGACTTGCCGAGTTCAGGAGTGCACAACTTTTGAATCTGGCTGACTGAGAATTTAATAATTGTACTTGTATTACTGTCAGTCACCATCACTACACAAAGGTAATTAGTATAAAATTTAGTGTATGCACTATACTGTGTTCGGACTTGCATAGGATTCTTGTCGTGGTGAAATTTAGCAAGTTGCCTAGACAAAATCTGCCTGGTTTGAAAATCACTTCAGTTTTATCCCAAAATTGACCATTTTCAATAAACTGGAGATAAATGCTGTAGTCTTTCACCACAAATTTTGCTGACCAACTCCAGCTCGACTGGTACTAGAAGATAAACGGGTGAATTCCTGAAACACTGCATATTGAGCATTGGGTGTTGCTTTCTTGCAGGTTTGCTGACAGGACGGTACAGCATTCTTCTTGTGTGCTCCAGACGGCAGTCCTGAGCCGAGTCAGTCAAGTGTCGGTCAGTTGGCAGGAAGTGTGTGTGCTGCCGCATTGGAAGCAGTCAACTCCTTCTGCAATTACAGCCGAAGCCGCAACATATCCGTTAGCAATGACTAGGAAATCACTAAAGAGGAGGAGAAATGTTTCCCACAGCTAGTATGCAATAGCCTTGGCTTGACACATTCCTTAGTTAGTTTTCCGTTAGAGAACGGTCCACAGTTTGTGCTCCACTTTTCAGAGACACCCCGAGGGCGCACTCATACTATCGGATGGCAGTAGACCGTTTTACTAGGGATGTCAGCGAACGCACTGCGCAGGCCTCTGCGCATGCATTGCGTCATCGATTTTTTGAACGTGATCGCGGCCGACAGAGAAAACATGGCCGCGGTCTGTTTGCACCGCTGGGAGTCGTAAAATTACTGTTCTTCTGTCCCCGCGACCATTCAAATCATACGCGATACTCGAGGACCCACGAACTCACCACGTTCTCCCCGGTCGATTTCTCTGAAAGTTTGCACATCGTGAAACACCAGTATGAGAGGTGTTCAGGCCAATTTTCAAGGAATTTCCCTGGTTGGATCGTTCCAAAATCGGACTTCCATTTCTCGTTCGCGGCCATTTATTGCGCGATGGAAGCGCCCTGCCCTGGTGAGTTACGAGCATCGCGCTTGGTAGAGAGTTGCTGCAATCAGCTCCCTGATGTCTTCGCTGCCATTGTCAGAAGCGATGGACCATGAATTTGTTTGAGAGTCTCTGGATGCTACTATTCCTCAGCCTAGTTTTCAGCCATTCCGTGCATCTTCTTCGCACGATTTATTTTGCAAAAAAATGAAAGTTTTCATGAGTTTTCTTGTCGGCCGCGCGTAGATGGGCCAGGCTGACCTGCGCAGATGGGCTGCGCAGTGCGTTCGCTGATATCCCTAGTTTTACTGCCAGTTTTAGAATGATAGATGCAACGCTGCATTCATATGCGACAGGAAAAATTTCACGCTTCGCGTGAGACTCAGTTAGACTGAGTTGTCCGCCTCCATGGGGATGCTACCGCCCTGCAAAGATCAAGGCGCAAATGCAGCTCCTAAAGCGGTGGGAGGTGAGCAGGTCAGACCCGCCAACAGAATAGTCAAAGGCCGAAAATCCGATTCGCTGCATCCATGTTTCCCTCCTGCCAGCCCGCGAGCTCCAAATTATATAAACTAGCAGGACTTGAACCTGGCAAGTACCCTCCTTTTCTCAATCATTGTGTCACGTCCCAGAATAAGACAACTGCTGCCTGATAGTCCTGTGACAGCAGGATCTACCTAGTGAGTAGCTCTGTGCTGAGCTGTCACGCCCTTTTGGTACAATGTGGTTTGGCCAGTGTCTTGTCCCACGTGCTTAGCATGTAGGTTGAGCGACACGCGCTTTCCCACGTAGGTGACATGCCTTCTTGGCATGACACGTTATGGGATCCAAGGCCGGAACCTGGTCAGGTAGGTTCTCGCGTTGTACGTTTCCTGGAAGTTCTTCACTTCCTGGAAATGTGACCCCAGGCTTTGTGCAAAACCACGTCACTACGACGTTCTACAGGTTTCCACGATGCCTCGGCGCTTCGTGCAAAGAGCCAAGACTAATAATTATGACATTGTATAACAAGAGCTAAGTGCAAGACAGGAGACGTGTGCAAGAACCAAAACCGTCACCGCGCAAGAGGTCAGAGTATCACGCAAGCAAGACCAAGAATGCAGCAGAACTTACCATAAGAAGCCGCTGAACTATGGCACGTTGGGTGAGCGGGCTCCCCAACGTGACCCTCATATTGTACTCTAACGTGGGTGAGCGGGCTCCCCACGTCCCAATTTGGTCTTTCTTCTCTCGATGTCTTTCTTTCTCTTTCTTCTCGAATGATCACCGTACGTATATTCTGCATTTCTGCTGACTGGCTGCGCACATTCCGGTTTGACTTGTTCTGCTATTTCCTGGAATTACCTCGCCATGATCACGCCATTATATCTCTGAAGCACCCTATAAAAGAAGCTCTCATTCTCTCTTTTACTTCAGTTCTAGTCTAGCCTAGTCTAGTCTAGTCTAGCAGTCGAGACTCGGTCTCAGCTCTCTGTCTTCGTTTACTTTGAGCTCGGATTTGATACTACTCACAACGTAAAACTAACAGTCTTTGTCTGTTGATCGTGTGGGGTTGAACTTGGACCAAGCCAGCTATATTGGTTGGCCCCTGGGTTGTGTTGGGCTTGTCGTGAGGCCACACGTCTATATTCAGTCGCCGCTCGTAGTGATTTCGGGGTCCGGTCACTGTGAGCCGGGGACGCGACATTTGGTGCTGTGACCAGGATGGTCTAAGTTCTCCTCACTCCGTAACTGCAACGACGCGATGTCCACAGCAGTCTTTCGTGAACAACCTCGTCTCTGATGGCAGGTTCTTGGCGATAGACGTGGCAGAGCAACAGCAGTGTTGGACGCTCAAACTTGGTACGAAGAAAACTCCGAGTGCGTTTCTCTTTCGCATCCAGCACTGGCTTTCGTTCCGGATCTCGTGTTCCTGTAGCGCTGCAGCGCGAGTTCGTAGTGCACGACGAGCTTGCTTTGCTGCGGACTACATGGCGGACACCAAGGTGCGAAATTTATTGCCAGTTGCACGATCGATCGAGGAGTTGTTTGCATTCAGGCAGTTCTCAAGTACGAGTGCAGTGCGCGTTGTTCAGCTTCAGATATGGAAGGGTTCGTGAACCCGTGTACCATGTGTACGCACATGAGCCGTAAACAGGGCTTGGGTCCTCTTTACGGAGCGTTGTGAAAGTAGTCACTACGACTGGATCACGGAGTAGTGCAGTGCAGTTTTCAAGTTTCGACAAGAAAACGCCACTGTTCGGACATGGTGTTTGTTGAGACCGCTTGAAGCTCTTGAAGCTTGACAAGTCGTCTCTTCAACGATGAGGCCTTACTGACGTTTGCACTCAGTTTGTTCTCAGTCGCGCAATGGCGAGTGCTGTTTGAAGACCCGTACCGGTTGTTTTATGGCTGAAACGATGGGAGGATGCAGACCACGTCGCTGGTTGTGGACGAATTCAAATCTCGTTCTGCGTGTCGCCGGACGCACCAGACGAAGATTTGTGACGCCCAGCGTTGGTGCTGGCGGAAGCAGTTTTATCTGCGAATGCTCTGGACGATCATGTCGCGAGAATGGCGAGTTCTGACCTTGTTGTCGATCTTCATTCTCCAGACGTTCTGTTTGTGAAAAAAAAAAGTTTGTGGAGAGGATGGCCGGGACAGTACATGACCTACTAGTATGTGCTGGAGTGTATACTCGTTCCTCGCCGCGGTCCTTGTCCTTGGTGAAAGTTGACCAGTTTCCTGCAGAAGGAACTGTGTCCTGTGAACGTGTGATGTTGATGGGTGCCTTTGCATCCTCAACAAATGACTGAACTGTGCACCGGTTCGGGTTGTGTACTGCTCAGAGGAGTCAGTTGGTCTCTGTGGATGAGGCGCCCGGATCGGTCAGTTGTAGCCAATTTCGGTTGGTGGTGATGAGCTTGCGTAGTGAGCAACGGAGAAGGGGACGGTGGTGACCATACAGGCCAAGAGGATGGGATTCCTGGGGCCGAAGAAGTATGGTCTGCGCTTCATATAGGACGAGGTCCTAGAACTGAAGTGGAAAGGCTGTGGTGGGAGAGGATGATTTGGATCTGGATCCCTGGGGCACAGTGTTGGCTGACCAGGGGACGCCCTGTGTCGAGGAGCCTGGTAGGCGAGACTCATCTGGGGATGATGAGTTGTTGCGAGTGAGGTCCCAATTTGCTCGTTACCGGATGGATTTTACTACGAGCTCTTTACCGATCTGGTTTCACAACTGTGTAGCACCATCGGATTGAGTGAATGCTTTATGTGCCTGGCACCTGGCGAGGAATTGTATTTTCTCGTGAGCAGTCAGTGATATTGTTCAGTCGTATGAGCCCGATACGAGTGATATGCTGTGTTCGGCTGATGACATGGTGTTCGCACCAAAACCTGTGGTGGATTGGACTTGCATCCTGCATTTCCAGTTGACTTACCTATTGTATCCGTCGCGGAGCCTGGTGGATGACACTGGCAACGTCGCGGTATCTCACCGACTACCATATCGGTCGAGGATAGTCACGGGGACGTGATTCTTCAACGGCGGGGGAAATGTCACGTCCCAGAATAAGACAACTGCTGCCTGATAGTCCTGTGACAGCAGGATCTACCTAGTGAGTAGCTCTGTGCTGAGCTGTCACGCCCTTTTGGTACAATGTGGTTTGGCCAGTGTCTTGTCCCACGTGCTTAGCATGTAGGTTGAGCGACACGCGCTTTCCCACGTAGGTGACATGCCTTCTTGGCATGACACGTTATGGGATCCAAGGCCGGAACCTGGTCAGGTAGGTTCTCGCGTTGTACGTTTCCTGGAAGTTCTTCACTTCCTGGAAATGTGACCCCAGGCTTTGTGCAAAACCACGTCACTACGACGTTCTACAGGTTTCCACGATGCCTCGGCGCTTCGTGCAAAGAGCCAAGACTAATATGACATTGTATAACAAGAGCTAAGTGCAAGACAGGAGACGTGTGCAAGAACCAAAACCGTCACCGCGCAAGAGGTCAGAGTATCACGCAAGCAAGACCAAGAATGCAGCAGAACTTACCATAAGAAGCCGCTGAACTATGGCACGTTGGGTGAGCGGGCTCCCCAACGTGACCCTCATATTGTACTCTAACGTGGGTGAGCGGGCTCCCCACGTCCCAATTTGGTCTTTCTTCTCTCGATGTCTTTCTTTCTCTTTCTTCTCGAATGATCACCGTACGTATATTCTGCATTTCTGCTGACTGGCTGCGCACATTCCGGTTTGACTTGTTCTGCTATTTCCTGGAATTACCTCGCCATGATCACGCCATTATATCTCTGAAGCACCCTATAAAAGAAGCTCTCATTCTCTCTTTTACTTCAGTTCTAGTCTAGCCTAGTCTAGTCTAGTCTAGCAGTCGAGACTCGGTCTCAGCTCTCTGTCTTCGTTTACTTTGAGCTCGGATTTGATACTACTCACAACGTAAAACTAACAGTCTTTGTCTGTTGATCGTGTGGGGTTGAACTTGGACCAAGCCAGCTATATTGGTTGGCCCCTGGGTTGTGTTGGGCTTGTCGTGAGGCCACACGTCTATATTCAGTCGCCGCTCGTAGTGATTTCGGGGTCCGGTCACTGTGAGCCGGGGACGCGACAATTGTCTCAGACCATTTCACTATGCCTGCATGACAGGAAAAACACATTACCTGGAATGAGAAAGACCACGTGTCAAACGATGCTCCCACACCAACGCCGAACAGGAATGTCAGTGCGCTTAGCAGAAGTGTGAATGCAAACGTCACAAACACGTAGGATGCTATGCCTGCTGAGTAGTTTGCATTCTTGCAGTTCTCACATCTCTATACAGGGAACAGAAGAAATCATACAAAGACAAAAACAGAGAAATGCACTCACTTGCAGTATGGTATGCTGTGAAAATCACCAATCAACTTTGGCATGGTTTTTTCAGTATAAGGCCACACTTTGTTTTTTCTATGTTTCTCGTCGGCAAATTTTAACAAAAGGTACGCGGGCGGGCGGAAAAAAAACAAAAGCCAAGGAAAAAACAAGAACAATTTCTACTGAAAACTGTATACATTTTACAATGTACATGTATACATGGTATACGCAGTGTCTTGTATCAATCACGCAGAATTATTATGCGTGATTGATACAAGACACTGCGTATACCATGTATACAGTACTACATTGTACAATCATGTACATGTAGTCCCATACATGATTGCACTACATTATCACATCAGCCCACGAATATCAGGCAAACTGCAACAATGTCAATGAGAGCTTAAAGTTCGATTACGAGATGGCGAAGAGAACATACATTTATCTGCTATCGCATCAACAAACGTTTCCCACTCGTCATTAATTTTTGGTTTTGTTACTTCAACGTTCTTGTGTCCGCTTATCAAACTCTTGTCTCCGCTATCAAACTCTTGTCTCCATGCTGCTCATCTTTTCCTTGTCATGCGTCTATTGCTTGGATTTTCTGCCTACAATATCGTTCCACAGACGCCAGTTGCCGCGGAACTCGTCCAACTTACTGTTCCTGGGACCCACGAGGCTCAGCTCAGCCAGTGAACGACTGAAAGTGAAAGCTTCGTCATGACAGCCTTCATCGCAGAGAACGGACGAGGAGCGCTCCTTTGCTGCATGCTGTGGTGCAAACGTTTACGATTATTGATTGACGCATCTAGCTGCTGCAGCATGTGCAGTGTACATACATGTACACATGTACGTAGTATGAACTTTTTTTTCTTCCAAAATTTCTGAAAACCTACGCGGGCGATGACGAGAAACATAGAAAAAATAAAGTGTGGCCTAACAGAAATAGAGTAGTAAATTATCTAAATGGAGAATGTACAGGAAGTCTACAGACGCTGATCCCGTTAAGCTCTCCCCGCTGAGGCGAGTCTCTTGGCTAGCGTGACTGAGGTGGTGCAAACAAAGATGTTGACGGATTCGTAAATTGCATAAATTTGGTGGCAAGATTTGTGGTACAGTCAAACCTCCTTAGGACGAACTTGGGACCAAACAAGTTTGTTTGTCTTATCCGGAATTCTTCTTATCCAGATCTGATAAAAAAAATTGATATGCATATCATATGGACTCGGATGCAGAGCCAAGGATAAATTTATAGTGCAGATAAAAGGACCAAGAAACTACAAGTTAGGCTAGAATGTCCACTAACACCACCAGTTACTAAACAATCAGCCTGGCTCATGCGAGTGCGCATCCAAGATGTGCTAGAGCTGTTAGACAGTTAGTTGTAGAACTTCAGTACCGTCGGTCAGTGCCCTGCAATGTTATCGCATGAGCTGATTGTTTAGTAACTGGTGGTGTTAGTGGACATTATAGCGTAACTTGTAGTTTCTTGGTCCTCTTTTTCTTTACTATGAACATCATATGGATTGTATTTATGTGAAGGTTCATGCAGTGGCAAATGTAAAACATTTTTTCATAACCTAACCCAGCAACAGGTAAGTACAATGCGCAATGAATTCATGACAGCATGTCCTCCGCCTTGTAACATGTTTTGCCAGTACAAGAGGCCTCGATTATCGGGAAAAAAACTACAGCCAGCGTCACCCACGGGGACCGAAAGTTCGTACTACACGCTGATTTTGTTCAAATCACGCTTGAATTTGGTTCGTCTTCACGAAAGTTTGCCGTACAGGAGTTTGTCGTAAACGAATGGTTTTGACTTGATATGATGCCTGGCCAACCATAGGATTGGCCCTAGTTCATACTAAAGTAAAGTTCGCATAATCAGTGTTCGTCCTAACGAAGTTTGACTGCATACACGTTTGCGACTGGAGTCAGGAGAAGCCAGCCAATTCCGGTTTGTTAGTTAGATCCTCTCCAGCTAAGATTGGTTCCAGCATGCTCAGTGCCACAGCGTCCAATGTACGACATGATTATGGCGTAGTTTGACTAATATAAAGGACTTGAACTCCGCACCGTCGCCGTTCTGGAAAAAGAGAGACTCCATCATGAAGCCTGCTAAGTAATTACTCAGAGCACATCATGCGGCACTGCTAGCATACTCACGAACAACTGCAGCGGCACCAGACTGTAACCATAGCTGCACTCGGTGCAGAGCAGGCCGGTACGATTGTCGCCGGTCTGGCATGGATCCGTGGTGCGCAGCGGCCAATTGCCGCTGACCAGATCGAGTTGAAAGAACTGACCCACCTGGTCAGTCCGCAGGACACGGAAATTCTCCGCTAAGGCCACGGCACGCTGCTCGTACTCAGTGAGATTGCCTATGTATGAGCGCTCTGGGTGAGTGTAGAGATTCGTGGCCGTCTCACCAGCCAGTCCAGCCCAGTACCCTGTCGGTACGGTCACTGAGTAGCCGTCGTCGGAGCAGTAGGTGAGTTCCGATGCGCACGCACAGATCAGACCGGTCAGGCTCTTGCTGGATGACGTTGACACAGTCTCTGTGAGGTTGTCAATGAGAGCACGGATCTGCGCACATGTGTGCATGTGCGTGTGTGTGTGTGCATGTGTGTGTGTGTGTGAACATGTGTGTGCGTGTACATGTGTGTGTGTATGTATGTGTGTGCGTGTGTATGTGTGTATGTGTGTTGTGTGTGTGTGCACAGGCATGGACAGACAGGCATGACGGAACGCAGGCACCAACACAGACAGGGTAACTCAGTTTTAAAACACACACTGGACAGCTTGCACACCGCCTCGTCAAGAACTGCCTCCCTTCAGACACAGCCCCGGAATGAGGGCGCCCTCAGTGGACCTTGGCAGCAATGGGGAAGCAAGATCTTGCCCTGATGGACAAATGCCGAGTCCCTACTAAGCAGAACACTGCCTGAGTCAGTACAACAACTTGACAGGTTGGCTCACCTGTGTATCGCTTTGTGACATCAGTGGCGTCGGCTTAAAGCCAGGGTAACAGGGCTGGAGACGGAACGGGATGATGAGTCTGAACGGGTGCAGCGCTACAATGCCGTCTGTGGTTACGGACAGGGAACCAATGGCCCCCGGCTTCCCGGCCAGAGCAACGCCGACGAGCGGGTGCTGCGCGGGGAAGGAGATCATGTCTCCCTTGTGGAACTGAAGTCCTCCGTACCGTAGCAACACATCACCTTGCACCACCTGCACAACACAACGTAGCCCGTGCATCAAGACAGATGGCAAACGTCACGGAGAGGGAGGCTTGTCATGTGGTGTACTTGTACTTGGGACCGGGACTGGATGCTTTCCTGATGATTGCACACTCTGCAATCCACCTGATGATTGCACACTCTACAATGCACCCGATGATTGCACACTGTGCAATGCACCTGGCCCATACCTACCATACTGTCTAGTGTCTTCTTAACAGCTACATGAATCAGCTGGAATTCCCTTTGCCTTATTTTCCGGAGTATACTAGTAAGCCGCATTTTGAACACTCAAAATTCACCGCTGAAAAGGGGTGCGGCTTAAATACTCCGATGATCAAATTAATGGTGATAACTAGGGTAGATGTCTGTATTTCGAGGCAAAAAAGGGGGTGCGGCTTATATTCTGGAAACTACGGTAAATGCTGGGTGCACCGTACCTCCAACAAGAGCGATGCCTGCACGTCGGACAGGCGTGCGTCCAGCGTGTTCAGTGTCAGCGTGAACTCCTCTCCAGGTGCAGGGTACAGCGTCAGGTTAGCGATGTTCTGTGCCAGTGACGCGTTCAAGGTTGACAGATAGTAATAGCTCCAGATAACAGTTCCCCACGGCAGCTGTAGTCAGCAGTAGACCAGTCGGATAGCAACAGCATACGGGGTTAGAATACACGCATCATCATTGACGATGCAAACTGATGTTACCATAGCGAAGCCTGTCTAAGCCGACTTCACAAGGGACCTTCAAAATGTGGGCAATGTGTACAGGTGGTCTTCCTATCCAGGGCCCCAGTCACTTGACTGGACTGTATATGGCATGGATTGTATATGACATGGACTGCATATGGCATGAACTGTATATGGCATGGACTGTATATGACATGGACTGTATATAGCGTGGGCTGTATATGGCGTGGACTGTATATGGCATGGATTATATATGGCATGACTGTATATATGGCATGGAATGTATATGGCATGGACTGTACATGTATGTGGTGTGGACTGTATATGGCATGGACTGCATATTGCATAGACTGCATATGGCATGAACTGTATATGGCATGGACTGCATATGGCATGGACTGTATATAGCGTGGAATGTATATGGCGTGGACTGTATATGCCATGGAGTGTATATGGCATGGACTGTATATGGCATGGACTGTATGGACAGTTCATGGTGTGCACCGGGCACAGCGTGGACTGGACACCCCGTCGGTAAACATGTATAATTATGGCATAGACTGCACAAAGCACCAACTGTAGACAGCATGAACTGAACGTTGAATGGACTGTACACAGAGTTGACTGTGTGCCACATGGGCTACATACGGCATGGATTGCATACAGCCAGACTGCATATTGCATGGAATGCATACGGCATGAACTACATGTACATATTGCATAGACTGCACACGGCATGGGCTGCTTTCGGTATGGACTGTGTAGGGTGTGAGCTGCGTGCTGAGTGGACTGTGTACTGCATGGAATGTGTGCTGCGTGGACTGCATATGGCATGAACTGCATATAGCATGGACTACACATGGCATAGACTGCATACAACATGGACTGCGCACGGCGTGGAGTACGGACATGCACTGCGTGGACTGCATACGGCATGGACTGCGTACGGCGTGGACTGCGTGCGATGTGGACACGCACTGCGTGGACTGCTTACAGCATGGACTGCCTATGACATGTGCTGTTTGTAAAATAGAGTGTGTGCATACAAAATCAGTGAGATACGGTTTGGTACTACAGGCATCCCTGAAAACTGGTAGCCTTCAATGCTTGACTAGCCAGGCGGATAAGGGTCACATTTTGAGTGATTGATGTCCGCAATTCTGATTATCCGTATCATACAGGCCAACCCTCCCGATTTTCCCAGGAAGATCCCGGGAATCAACAATACTCAGGGGTCCCGGGGATTTCAAGCACTCCCGGAAAAGTTACATTTTTGTCTAATACAGAATGTTCCTGAAAACTCCATGGACTCGCCTCGAATGTCCCAGTTTCTTTTCAAAAATGTGTACGGTGCGCACTCGCACTTAGAACTGTGCACGGCACATTCAAGACCTGACCAGCCTAGCCTGCTTGACCTACACTGACAGGCGCGCTAGGCGTGTCAACTGATCGAACTGCACTGCAGGGTGGAACTGTGCTGTACGCAGAGTCCATGTTGTGGAACGTTGTTTTAGCGGGAAAAGCTCTTTTTCACTTGTTTTTGTGCCATCCAGGTATTTTGAGAGAAATCCAGGGATTCTGCATGTCTTGTCTAGGGACTGAGATTTTGGTGTTTGGCCAGTGTGCTGTATTGCCTTAATGGAAACTACCATGATGCCTACTCATGGAGCAATGCAACTACGAGCTGCCATGTACATGTAAGCTACATACAATGAACATACCAAGAATTGATCTCTGGGTGGGAGACGGATGTCAACAGTCCAGGACGTGATATCAACTAGGATCTTGTCGACAGCAGCATCATA